ATTGAAGAATTTTTTTCTATAGAGAGAGCGCGAGTTGGGGAGAGGGGCAGAAGGCGAGAGAGAGAATCTCAAGCAGGTTCCACACTCAGCACAGAGCCCGACTTGGGGCTTGATCCCATGGCCCTGGGATCATGACCTGAGCCAAAATCAAGAGTTGGATGCCCAACCAGGTGCCCCAAACTAATTTAAATTTAAATGACTAAATCTATGATCTTCTAAGATTGAATCCCAGCATTAGGGCTTCCCTGAAACCTTTCATGACTCTTCGGTCTGACTTTGATGGTTTTCCTTTGTGACCACTGACTAGTGGTCCTCTTCTCTACTTGAGACTATTTCATGCAATAGAACCAGTAGAGGCTTTGATGTCAGGCATACCTGGGGCAAAATGACGTGATATTGGACAAAATATTTAACCTCCTTTAGCTTGACTTTCTCCACCAATAGTGTGGGAATATTGATGCCATTATTGCAAGATTGTTGCAGGGCAGAGTGAACTTAGGCAAAGGCTCAGCATGATGACAGGTAGATACAGGTGCTCGACAAGAGGTGACATTTTTTTGAGGATGGAGATTGTTTTCTCTATTATGGTAGTCTTGACACTGTTGAATAAATGCAGCGATGCCTTCTACACAGGGATTTTCTTGTGTGGCATGACATCATTCTCTAGACTTCCATATCAAATTACACCTGTACTATGTCTCAGCTAGCCGTATGGATGAACAATCTTGATTAGGGCCTAATATTAAAGGCTGATATATTTCCAATGGTCCACTAATGACTCCCCTAAAAGGTGAATCTAGTGGTGACACCATATGAGGACAAGCACAGTTATAGAAAATTCACAATGAAGATTCGGCATTTTCAAACCAACTGCATAGGTAGTTTCTATATTACTGACAGCGTGAGTTTTATCGGACCAGCATGGAGCACAGAACTGTCAAGTTGGTGCTGCTCCTGAGGGCATCACCAGCCTGCATCAGAGATAGTGGGTGGTCTTGTAATTTTAACAGTGTCACCCCCTGTTACCAACTCCCCTTTAAAAAAAATTTTTTTAATGTTTACTTATTTTTGAGTGGGGGAGGGGCAGAGAGAGAGGAGACATGGATCTGAAGCAGGCTCCAGGTTCTGAGCTGTCAGCACAGAACCCAATGCAGGGCTCAAACCCGCAAACCGCGAGATCATGACCTGAGCCGAAGTCAAACGCTTAAGCGACTGAGCCACCCAGGTGCCCTCCAGCTCCCCCTTTTTAAAAGGCACTTCTCCTCTACTGCTTTTTATTATGTTGTATTTCAAAATCGTAAGAAGTATTTGTCCCTTAGTAGAGTCTTGTCAGCACAAAATTTTGAATGAATAAATTAATCCATGATCTCTGCCCAAATCTGATAATATTCCCAAGCATCTAATTTTATGTCATTTGTTTAATGAGGTACAATCAAACATTTTCTTCTGCTTCTTGAGAAGCATTTAGATATGGCAAGAACCACTGATCAACCTAATTGTTCCGTAAAGATAGAAACCCTACTGGCAGAGTTCACTTGTTTAGAAGATGCTTCTGGAAGTTGGTGTTGCATTAATGTGATAAAGTGATACATCCAGGTGAGCGAAATACATGTCAGAAATAGATCCAGTAAAAATTCAGTGCTGCCTGTCTTCTTCCAACAACAAGCTGAAAGTGCTCTTAGTTTTAGCTTTCTGTTTCTTTTGACACTTTGTTTTTTTATCAGCAAGAGAAATGTGTTGTTTTATTTTCTGTTTTTAATCTGTGTTTCAAACCTCCCACCACCGCCAGGAA